TCAAATCGCTGAAAAGTTAAAGATTGTGAAAGGAGTTGAATAGGAGAAGTATAATTGTGACACGAAGCAAAAAACTGGCAGGATATGATTATAATAATTAGGAGAATAGATTGGAAAGGCATTAATAGTTTCTTCATTTTAAAGCTACAATTTGGAATGATATAATTACAGGATATTTGGGAAAATATTTAAAAGAAAGATTGAAATGCCATTAAAATAGTTTCTTAATTTTAGGTTTTATCCCGCTACTCCTCTACTATTTTCTAAACTCTTCGATAAAGTCAATCTGGGGCTACCAATTTAAAGCAGGGGGAAAAAGGGTTTCTGGGTATCCTTATCCTTATCTCGTTGCCGGGCGCCTAGCAACCCTAAGTAGCCTCAGACAGCTGTGGCTATCGGTGGCACAGGTGGATAGCTCGTCCTCTGGCCAGCCACTTACGCACACATCCCAAATTGAGAGCCTATCCCATTTGATTTGCTTGCTTTTCCACCTCCCCTTCAATCTATCTCTCTCTCTCTTTGTAATCGATATATGATTTTGTTTAGTTTTGTACACTTCCACGAGGTCGGGGGGCGGTCGGTGGGGGTGCCTCTGAGTATGCAAAATATCCCGGGGCGAGTTGCCAGGACAACGAGCGAGGAGGAGCTGGGAATGGAGCGGCTGTGAAGCGTCGATGCCACATGACATACCTAAAAGGATTTGGACTTAAGCAGCTTACCATGTAAACAGCGTGCTCACAAACACAGGGGCAAGCCAGCCACACACCACACACACACACACACACACGCACACACACTAGAACAGGCACACAATGCGAATTATGATGCATACTTTTATGTAGATTATGAGCCCACACACTCACACACACACTGCGAGAAAGGATGTGCCGTCGATAGATCATGATACAGTGTACAGTGATTATTCGTACATATTTGACCCAGAAAGCTGACGAAGATTCATTGATTGCCTTCGAAATATTTAGGGAAAGGTATGTTATAATAATTATATATAATTCTGGAGATCCAAGACGCATTCCTGCAACCTTTCTTTGATATTAATAAAGAAATATATCCACAGCATCCTGGCCGACTGACCCCTTGCTTTGGCTCACTGTAGAGGTGAGCGGCTAGGTGCTCTCCTCTGCGCATCCAACCTGCAGCTGACGCCCCAAAAAACTGATGATCCCCGGCTTCCTGATTGTTGTCCCTGGCCTCGTCCTTATTTGCATAGCTTCTCAAGTCGCCGGGTCCCAAGTCACGGCATCTTCTGGTCCGGGAATGGGCGCGCTTGCGCTCGGGGGAGTGGAAAAATTGTGCCAACTGCAAACGAGTCCATCTGTCCTCCACATCCTCCGCTGTCCACACTCCACTCTCCTCTCTCCCAACCGTGTCCGGGAGCTACTCCATCTGGCCGACTTCCTGCTCTGCTCAGCCTGCATGCAAATGAGCCTCATATATCTGGCGCTCTTGCTTGTTTTTTACTCATAGCTCGCCTTTATAGTTTTGCTTTTTTTTTTTTTTTAGCTCTTCGTCTCCTTGTATCTTGTCCCGCCTTGGATTGTGCTTGTTATGTAAAAACTTTAGAATTTTCATACAGTTTTTGCCGGCTCGCCGTCTGCTCCTGGTACCCTGAAGTGGGGTCTGATTGTGGGTCCTGTGTGCCAGCTGCCTGTCAGTTGTTAACTCAACTGCTTTGCATCAAAATATCAATGCATACTTTGGGGCCATAGGCATAAATTACCGTCTAAAGGATGAGAGGTAAAAGAGGAGGAGAAGGAGGAGAAGGAGGAGAAGGAGGAGGAGATCCTTGGCTAAAGAAAAGTGGCCAAGCAGCTGATGGGCGCTTAGCCCAAACAATCGCTTCGCTTCGGTTCGGTTCGGTTCGGTATGGCCAGTCTTGTTTTATGGCCTGCGATATGGAACGGAACGGAATGGAGATTGAAGGAGGGACTCGAAATGGCCGAGTGTCCTTTGATGGGTTCACTGGACCAGCTAGAAATCGCAGTGGGTATTGTAATTTACAGCAGAAGTAAGTAAGGCGTGGAAGGAGTGGTCTTTTATGGATTGAAATCTTAAAGATTGCTATGGAGAAGCCATGCAACTCAATCATCAAGGGTTACTGGCAAGTATTCAGATTGTAAAATGGAAAGCAAGGATATAAGAACATTTATTTAACTTAACAACAATTATAATACCTTTTTATAAAGCTTATGTTACATACTTAGAGCTGGTTTCCAATGAATTGCCATCAATCACTAGCCCAGAAATTGGTAAATAATTGCTCTCCTCCATGATACATTTCAATTTTCCGAAATCAAATTAAATGCAGTCTGGAAAAGCCATGGCATTATCAACGTGACACCAGATTAACCGGGATTATATATGTGGCTACGTTGCACGAATTTACCTGGGACGTGAAGGATGCCGGCACATCATCAACCCGCCACATGCATGTCCATTCATTTGTCATCGCGCTAATCGGGCAGCGTATCCACAAGCCAGCATAAGTTTTCCGGAATGCAATCGTGAAAATATGAAAATTCGAAAATGATATCCAACATGAGCGAGCTCAGCTTAGAGGCGCGGGCTTAACGCATAATTTACGAGTGTTTCCGCGGGGTGGAATCTTTAATTAAAAATCGAATAATAACCAGCATATATCTGCCATCGGGTAGAATAATGGGGAAAACCGAGGGGGAAATAATTGCAAATATTACCTCCCTGTGTATCCTGACATCCTCCGGACTTTGCCGAGCATAGTAATTTATTTATTCGCGCTCTATCTGCTCTCTGCTATGGGAAATAGAAAAATAAATTCGCACCAATTTAGCGAAAAATTGTGAAAAATCAAATGCAATTCAAGTTGCTTCGCTTCGCACTCGCAGCTGATGACGTTGCACACTTGTTTGCCCAGGATGCCCGCCATAAAGGATGTGCTTAAGTGCATCTTGCACTTTGACTTGCCAATTGCCTGTCTTCGGGGTCTTCTCCTCTCTCCTTTCAGTTAGCAGCTCCTGGCTTCTGGTTCCTGGTTCCCAGTGCATCTTGGCATCTGCTCACTGCTGACTAATAGCTTGATAAACTGCATGCCACGCTCTCATAATGAACGCCACCCACCCTGTTTCACACGACATTAAACCATCACGAGCTGAGCATATTTGGGGCTCTAGGCGAGCAGGGATCAAGGATATGCACACTTTACAGATGGCCAAGTACGGGATTTAAGTAGGGAATAGTTATAGAATTTAAAAAATATTATTTAATAATATAATATATAATACATCGACTTGGATCGTCAACATCGTCCGTTGGTATACCCCTACCTGCGTGATATCTCTGTCTCCCTATTGATTCATTTTTTTGGGGTTCATCCCATTTTTTTTTTTTTTTTAATTTAAATTTAATCAAAAAGCTGTTTTTTTTCAAATTGTCAATCCAGGGACGACGAAATGTTGACAGCCCTGTTTCATTTTCATGTTCCAAAACATTGGAGAATATTCAATGATAGCGAAGTACTTTTAAATCACAATCAATCTTAGCACCAATTAAAGGGCTAACCAAGAGCTATAAGTTTCAAATTTTGTAAAATTAAAATAAAGTCTTCAGTTTGAATGCGTACAAATGTTGCATTCGACATCGGAGAGTTCCCTCTATTTTTAAGCTTGAGAGATATCGATAAGCATCCGGTTCTACTTTGAACATTTTCCAACACTGTCATCGCAAAAGTTGCTTCCAGCAAAACACATTTTAGAACGGTCCCGCTCTTTTTATATTCGAAAGTGTACATTTGTGTTTGTAGTCCTCAGCTTAGCAATAATATCCTAGCTTCAAAATGAGGAAACCCTGCGTGCTGTGCGGCAGCAATGAGAAAAATTATATGTTATTAGGCCAATTGGGTATCCAGGCCGAGAATGTGATGCATCGCAATTGTTTGGTAAGTTCTTCTTCACGCGGAAATACAGTGTCTCCTTGTTATGTGCTCCCTTTCCCGCGAGCAGGTCCTTTGCTTAGGCAAATGCGTACAGACTAAGGATGCCAAATACCGTGCGCGACACTTCTTCAGGAATGACTTTTTCATTGCTCAAATGCGAGTACTGCCATCGGCTGGGGGCCAATCTAACCAGTTGCCAAGTGGGATGCAAGCGCAGCTTCCACACCAAGTGTGGCGTAGATAACATGGCCGTTCTTCAGTTTGGCGGCCAGTTCGACACCTTCTGTGCTGATCATGTCCCAGAGCATCGCAGGCGTCCCGAACCAGAAGATAATTGCGTTATATGCCTAGGTGTGGTAGTGAACGATGGCGAAGACTTTAAGCCGGCACTGGCCGAGTTCGGGGGGTATACGGAGTAGTTTTTACTTTACATTTTAAACTATTATTATTTATTTTGACCACAGGAGTTATGTATTACCTGAATCGCCGGCAGCCTTGGCGTCTCGTGCCAGGGAACGCGGACACCCACCCATCCAATTATGGCCATTTCATTAACCAAATGGTTGCTCGTGTGCCGGTCGTCCGCATCACCAGATTCCAACCTTAAATTATACATACTCCAGGAGGGGAATACCAGAGATGCCGTTGTCCCGTATTTGATTTTGAAAAGTTAAAACTTTAATAAGATCTGCGGATAAAACTTGTACGGATTTCGCAAACCTAACATATTGTCAATACTATTTGTACTCATCACATATAACTTTGGACTATAAATGAAATCGATGATGAAGACCTTTTGCGTTTCGTTTTTCTTCACTTTTTTTTCTCAAATACATTTTTTATATATCGATTCCTAACGCACCGATATTTTCAGTAATTCTGTAGTATTGGAAATCCCATTCAGCGATGAATCGATAACAATATCCCCATTTTTAACGTTTTCCAATACACAATAAAACACTCTGGCAACTTAATTTTGGCGCGACTCTACGCTTGCTTTCAGGAAAGCGTTTCTGTGAATTTTTTGCCGGCAATCTTTCCGTTTGTGAAATAAATCCAGTGATCAGACATGGTTCTACCTTGCGCTCTCTGCGGCAGCAGTGAGAGAAACGAGGCGATCTTGGGCGAGTTGGGTATCCATTCCGAGGTTGTGATACACCGCAACTGTTTGGTATGTTGACCTTGACAAAGGAATATGTAGCGTGTCTCTTTGTTATGTGTTCCCTCTCCCAGGTCCTATGTCTGGGAAAATGGCTCCAGAATAAAACTCCCCACTACCGTCTGTGGAAGTTCCTCACCAGAGACATGTGGGTGGAGAAGCATCACTTTAGGCTACTCAAGTGCGAGTACTGCATTCGCGTGGGGGCCAACTTATCCTGCTGCCACGTGGGATGCAAACGCAACTTCCACACCAAGTGCGGCGTGGAAAACATGGCTGTCTTGCAATACGGCGGCAAGTTCGACACCTTCTGCGCAGAGCACGTGGCGGAGCCCCGTAGGCGTCCCGAACCAAAAGATCATTGCGTTATATGCCTTGGTGCGATAGTGAACGCTGGTCAGTATTTCAAGACGGCCCAGGCATTTCAAGCGCCGTGCTGCCAGAACGGATGGTTTCATCGCACCTGCGTGCAGTACATGTCCATGGCGAGGAAGCGTTGTCTCAAGTGTCCTCTTTGCAGGAACAAAAAGAAATTCGCTGAGGTGGCTTTGTTTGGGGTTTCCATACCAAAGTGGTGAGTTCCGGGAAAAAGAGTAATTTTTATATTTACAAATTTTAACTATATTGTTTTCAAACAGGCGTAAAACCTTACCCAACATGAAGAAAAGGTGGCGTGTCCTTAAAATATTTGTAAAAAACGCAAATGGAAGAATAGGTCGCTGATTTAGATTTAAAACAATGTAAACTTTGGTGTAAAGTTCTCATATATTTTTTGGTATCCTTACTTTTTTGCACTGCTGTCAAAATAAATATGTGGCATGACTCTAGCAAGTTTTTGGGAGAGCTTAAGTTGCAGCCAATGCTTAAAAAAAGAGGATAAACAGTTTCCTGGAAAATAGTTTTCTGGAAAATGCCAGGGCTTTAAATCAGATTACAGCTGCAAGTTAAAATGTTGCTACTTTTGTTGCATTTTGTATTAAAAAATATTTACAAAGGATGCGGGGACTGTTAGCTGGCAATATGATTGCCTAGTTTTTGGGGCACCTTTCGAGGAAACGTGTGTATGCCTTATCCGATCGATTTGATATGTGAAATGACAGGAGAGCGCTCTGCCGAGGGAGTCGCCCTGGGAATGTGTTAACGCATTTGCCACGCCCATTTGCCCACATAAACCCCGACGTTCAATTGCTCGTTTCTGGCGAAAAGAATTCCTTACCGCCGCCCTTGTGTTGCTTTTAACTTTTGTTCTCTTGTGGGGGGAATGGGAATACGGAAAAGAAAGCGCGGGGCAGGGAGCAGGAAGCAACACGGCAACGGGCAGACAACAGACAGCAGACGGCAGACGACAGATATGTATGATGAAATACAAATTAAATTTCCCTGGCACAAGCACCATGCACGAAAAAATCAGATATGAAATGTAAAACTGAGGCAGGATGCGAGTACAGCTGGATCTGGTTGGGATCCTGTAGAGAAAAGAGGGATGAAGAGCATTGGGAGGGAGGCACTTCATCAGTGGAAGGCTTTCCCCCTTTGTGGGGGTTTGCCGCCTCCTTTCACCGAGGACTCAAAATTCGAAACGCGCGGCAATTGAAGTCAGAATTTAAATGGGATTCCCCTTCACTCATCAGCACTTGTCTTGCACCTTCCACCGTCTCCCCCTGCTCCTCCTTGATCCCCACTATCATTGTGAAAATGCGTAAAAAGGCGTATAATTTGCATGAGATTTGATTTCACACCGACACCGCCAAGGAAGACTTGCGAAACTTGCTACAAACTGGGGAGGATTGGGTGAGGGTTGGAGGAGGAGTTATGGGGGGGGGGATATATGTACAAAAAATGGGGAGGCTACAATCCTTCGGGAAAACCCCAGAAGTTGTTGTATGTTCGGGATCCCCCATATATCTTGGCCAAAACCATTTCATTGTGAAATTCATTCAGGGATTCAAATTCACTTCGAAGTCAAGTGTTTTCCCACAGGACAAGAGTACTTCCTCGCAGGGAATAATGTTAAATTAAAGTAAGTAAGGGCTTTAATTAAATAGAAAAAATATTAAGAAAACGCTAGAGAGTACAGGAAATAATTTATTTTTATTTTTATAACCCACAAGTGAAGGGAGGCTCTAATATATTTCCATTCAGCTGATTGCCTAACCCAAGCCATAATGCATATATATATTTCGATTCGTTGCCATTACCATTATGCCGAATCCCTAACCATTTCGAGTTATGAGTAAAGTCAAAAGTCAAAGCCAGGCGGAATCCTCTGAGCAACTGGATGCCATTCGGCCTGATTGCAATTGGCAGTGTTGGGCTAATGCCCGGCTCCATGCTGGCGTACCGCTACCCCTCGTCCTGCCATGCCCACGCTCAGCCGGAGCGTGCCCGGCTCTCAACAGAGAACGGTGCTTGCAATTGACAGTTTCGAATACAGATTTAAACGCAGATACAGATAGGGACTCAGGTTCAGATACAGCTATAGATACAGCTACAGATACAGCAACGCACATATTGGCTGCAGTGTTGAGTACATATAAAAACAATAAGCCATTCGGGAATGGAGATGCGGAGGTAGAGGCGGATTCGATGTGCCGAAAACAAATAATATATGTAAGAGCAAATGGTGGCCTTACTCGACTGAGGTCTACCTCAGGCTGTGATTTAAGCTTGACTTCAAGGTGTTTCTAGTTTTCTTAGGGTATTTAAATGCTTTTCCAAGCCTTGAGACAAGGACTCTATAGACTTCAAAGGACTCTTTTTTTTAGTCTGAGATGATATTCTCAAGATATCCTTTGACTTCAAAGATGGCATATACCCCAAAGCGGGGTATAAAAACCAAACCAAAGAAGCGACAAAAAGGGAATACAAAAATACGTACAACAATAAATATTAATAAATTTCACATGATCATAAAAATAAATTTGTGAATCCAACACGCACTGGCGAACACACTCATACGCACACACTTGCTGGGAGAGATACGGCGGGGCCCAGTCAATACACACAAACATATTACATTATAAGGCTTAGCCATAACAAGGCAATCACATTATTAGGCGCCGCCCACCGCCCACCGCCCACTGGGTGAGGTGGGGGTGTGGCTGGCTGTCAGGTGCTGGTGCTCTGCTCCCGCCACACACAAGGACGCATCGTTGTAACGGTAATATAAACATATGCAATAAGGTTATCTTATTACCCTGCGAGCCATGATAAAGAAGCGGCGGGGACAGGCGGTGGCACGGCAAATGACAGCACACACACACGAGCACTCCACTGCGAAATCGAAGCAAATAATTTCACACCCCAATCTCCAGACCATAACATCTTATGGCCTTCCCCCATACCGGATCATCTTGAGCTCAAATGCCCCGGGCAGGGCTGCTCAAAGAGGTGCCAAGCGAGATCCCAGCCTGGCCAAGATCGCTGCAATATACAGGGATGGCCACGCCCACTAGCACAGCCAATAAAGCACTTCCGACCCCCCCCCGCCCCCAGTTCGCCAGGTGAATTGTCAGCTCTTAAGTATCTCTGATTGTGACACATACACCCAGACACAAGTGCTCCGTCAGCCCTAATGGCATCTCCTTTAGGCTAGTTAATCCCACCTTTCGTGTGTTCCGGGGCTGCTCCATTTTTCCATCTTCATCTCTGCACATCCAAGGCGAAAAAGAAAAACAAATTGAAAGAGCTGTGGGTGCAACGGCAGCCGGCAAAGAGCAAACCCCAAAAGGAAAAGCAGGCAAACAAGCGGCGACCAAAAATAAATTTTGGCTAAACTCGAGAGCACCGGAATTGGGGATACTCTTGAGGAGGACTAGGTTCTATGATTTTACAGGTATGTTTTTTGGATTTTTAAAAAAGGAAACAAGGAGAGTTAGAGCTGGGAAAATGTAATGAATAAGATGCGTAACGCCAGACGAAGGCTCATGCTCTCTTAAAATCTAGCAGATATAGAGCGAGCGCTTGAAAGTCTGCCTCTTTTTTTATACAAGACTTATTTTGTACATATAGTTCTAGATCTGCTTGCCTGCTTATGTGTGCGTTACGCATCTTACTCACTGTATTGCCTTTGGTTAGAGAGTATTTTAAAAGCTATGATCTGAAAATTTACCGTCTTGAGCTTAGAAAGTTCTTAATTTTCCTTTATTAATTTTTTTCCTTAATACGTTTTATATATTTTTATAATTTATATAAATTTTACAATACCTTTTGGCAAGGGTATATAAAATAGAAGAGGAAAATGAAGAAAATGCGGCGACCAAAAAATGGACCAAAATCGATAAGAATGTAATTTGCCATAATTCACAGAAATTTGCTCGGCATATTGGCTTTCTCTCTTCTTATTTTTTTCTCATATAAACATATATATATACACATACATGTGTGTTTGTGTGTGTGGTGTTTTCTTGTGTGTTTGTTGCCTAACAACATCAACAACGAGAAAGCAAATGCTTGTGAAAGAAGATGAAAATTATTAATGGCTAGGCTATTGGCATTAAAATTACACCTTCTGCCAAGAAAAAAAAAAAGGAAAAGCTGAAACACAAACAACCGCACAAGCGCACGCACACACAGATATCCATCTGACCCCGCCCCCTGTCACAGGATATCCCCCGCTCTCTTATGCATTAAATTGACATTCATATTACTTATTTATGCATGGGAAATTAATTTTGATATGTTGATTTCTCGCATGAGCAAATCCAACATGTCCCCCATATCGGAGGGAATGCAGGTGACACACACATGTACAACTGCTATCCAACTGTCCAACTGCCCAACTGTCCAACCTGTCCAAGCTGCTTTATATCCTGGCGGCTGGTATATGGTCCTCCTCCATTGTGGCCTGTGTATTTTGCAAATAATGCATTGGGTCAAGCTCTCTGATGTTCATGTTTTTTGTTTTACACTTTTTCCTCGTAGATTTACCTGATTTTATTTATTTATAATTATAATTTAAGAACTTTAAATTGATATTATAATGCGAAACTATGAAGTACTTTAGAATTCCGTTTATATATTCCATATGAAATTAGTAAAGCTTCGTTCCTAGAACCTCCCTTTTATGCAAACTTCAAGGGAATAGCCCCAAGGGACGCCTTATAATCATAATTATTATTATTATTTTTTGCTGAATGCTGATCAGTTAAGTGGCGGATACTCGAATATTCAAAACACAGGCAATTTATGCACTCAGCTCACTGATAACCAATTGGCCCGGCTCTTCATTTTCAATTCGTGGTGGCCTGGCCCCGGGGCCATTTTAATCACTGACTTTGTCATTAGTTATGCACGAAAAACCAGCTCGCCCGGTAATCGCATTCGGATGAAAATGAGCCTGGAAGGGGTTATATATATACATCTACATAAATTGAAGGCCAGTGGCGGATATCTGCAACTTTGCTCTTTGTCTCCGGGAGTTTCTAGTTCGCTTCCGTTGCGTCAACTCATTGTGCGCACTTCCTGTCATCCGGTGATGGCCAGGCTTTCAGGCAGCAGGCCCACAGCATCACTTACAGTTACAGAGAGTCTCAGAGACAGAGAGAGAGAGTCCTCTGCCCTCTGCCCTCTGCCCACTGGTAACTAATTGTTTTTAATCACTTTCCAGTTGCCCAGGCTCGCCCGCAAAACGGCTTCGGGCGCACTTGGATTGGCAAAATAACGATTATACGTATAGCATAATAATTATCGTCTCGGAATGGGGTCTCTACGAGCTCCTGGGAATCCAGCAAAGGCTCATCGACTCATCGACTCATCGACTCACTGACTCTTCGACTCATTGAGCTTGGTTAACAGCCAGTGAACTCGGTGGATGGATGCCAAGTGCATTGTGCAGCCAGAACTTGGAAAAGGATAAATTCCTACTTTGCCTTTCGTGGTTCGCATCTCGTGTTTACTTAGCATAACTCGAGTTCGTCGAGCTTCGTCCTTGTTGTTGTCGTCGCTGCCACTCTTAGTGGGGCAATTAAGCGATAAGCTAGCTAAATACACACCACTCTTCAACGCCTTCTGGCCACGCCCCCTCTCCGAAAAACTGTCAGGCAAAAATTTGCAATGGAAAAGACACAACACGATGACGACAACAAGAGAGAGAGAGAGAGAGAGAGAGAGAGCAAGCTGGTAGCGCGGAGGAGATGAAGATAACCACTTGGAAACTCATTAGTTGGGAATTATAATTAGACAATTATTTGGTTTTTAATTTGTTCTTGTTGCGAGTATTATCATTATGGCCATTATTGTTGTGATTATTGCACTGGAATGAGGATGCCAGGCAGTAAGGATGCCTTGCCTTGGCTTGGCAATAGTTACGCATACGCCATGTGTGCCGGCTTTGGCTAAGGCCCAAATGAAATACCACTTAATGATTTTAATTAGTTGTCTAAACACTGAGCTCTGAGCCGAAGGATGTCCTGGACCCATACCCATACCCATACCCATACCGATGTCCAGGTCTGAGGTTAGCCCAATGCCTTGATGAAGTGTTTGCTCCGTCACCAGTCGAGTCGAGTTGAGAGTCCTGGCTGCGATTCATTCATTTTGTGTGGTTTTCCGCAGCCAAAACGAAGCTTATGCGGAATGGAGCAGACCGCAAGGCAAATGTGGCTAGGACATTAGAGCAGATGTTGTCCTTGCCTGGGCAATTCCCCCAAACCTCAACCCTGCTCCTGCTCCTGCTCCTGCTCCTACTCCTGCTCCTGTATGTGTGTGTGTTTGTGTGCTTACACTTCAACTCATTAGCGCGTAAAGAATCTTAACGCTTCAAAATGAATTAATTTTCATCCAATTTGGCGTTGTCGCACACACACACACACAAGCCCGCGACTCGGAACGGGCCTGTGACGAAGCCGAACGAAATGAGCTCCAGAGGAGGAGGAGGAGTAGGAGGAGCGTAGCACATTGTCGTCTTTTGGCTCATTATGCACCTGCCCCCCAGTATCCATCCACCTGCCATGCTGCTCGTCGTCGTCGTCGTGGTGCTCCACTCTTTATTATTTTTATTTTCGTCCTCGTTTCAGTCGCTTTGTTTAATTTCTGTGCTTTCTTTATTCTGTTCGCTGATTTTAAATTTCGCCATGCTCCTTGTTCCCAGCTCCCAGGCTTCCTCCTCCTGAACCGGCGTCCGTCCGCCTGTCAGCCCGTGTATCCGTTTGCCGCCGCCGCCGCCGCCGCCTCTGCCATGTGCGTGTGTGTGTGTGTGTATTTAAATCCGATTTGAATAATTACAAATTTCAATTGTATGAAAAGCAACGGCAACGGCAGTCGCTGCCCCATGACAGCCGGCAATATGACGCCATATGGAAATGGCACAGCAGAGGGGTTCACAGTGGAAGTAGGAGGAGCAGGAGCAGGAGCAGGAGCAGCAGCAGTAGCAGTATTTACCGTACAATGGCAGCCATGGCAGCCCGCCGCCACACTGAGCGAAAATGCTTTATAGTTCTCTCTCAGGTAATTGCCAAAATTCAACTTACAGCAAATGCGAATCAACATGAAATATTCAAGGATCTGAACAGGAAATTGATGGGTATATTTTGAGAGGATAATGTCAAAAATTAGGAACGGAAGGCTTTAAGGTTTTTAAGGTTTTAAATCTACAAATTACTAAAAATTAGTTATCAAAAAAAGAGGATAAAGAGAAGTATTTCTTTGCAGACTGAAGAAAGAGGTGGCTTTGTTATAAAATATAATTATAAATTACTGAATTCGGTTAATCTTAAGTAATGTTCCTTATTTTTTTTTCTCAGTGTTGCTGCCTTTCACAGTCGCTGGCTGCGTTGACAACAACAACAAAGGCTGGGAACAGGAACAACAAGAACAACGACAACGGCTTCTGTTTCTGCCGAGTTAAAGATAAGATTATTACCCACCACACCCACTCACACACACACACACACACACACACACCAACACACCCACATTGGGGCACACACACTCTGGTGCCTTGGCTGCTTGGGATTTATTTTGGTATTTCGCATTTCGTCCTCCTTTCGGGAGCTCCCAGCTCCCACTTTCCAGTTCCCAGATCCCGATGACAGTCTTTTTTTTTTTTTTTTTGTTTTTTGTGTTCTTTTTTTGTGGGGCGTGCTCATCCAAGGCTCTGCGGTTGACTATTCCGACTCCGGCGGCTCTTCTCTGGCCTTTCATCACGTTTGAATAATAATTTCCCTATTCCGTGTGGTTCGCACTGAATCAATTGCAAGAGGCTCCAGCAGAGTCAAGTGGTTTCCAAATCCACTAAGGACCGGCAAGGTCCAAAATGTCAAGGTTTTGATTTCTTAAAGTGAGGTTAAAGTTTTATAAATAAATTATTATTAAATTCATCTTAAATTTTTATAAAATTATTATGAAATCTCGAGTGAACTACTTTAGGAATTGCTCATAGTTACAACTGTTTTGTGTCCTTTTCCTTAAGGGTTATCCTTATTCTCTAATTGACTTAAGAAACTACTGAATGTTGCTACCTGTATGACCTTATGTCTTTTGTTATACAAATATATAATAAATTGTTTAATAATTATAAAAGTTCACTGATCCGTCTAGGCTTCCCCCAGGTGTACGCTCTAGATGCTCCGAATCTCTCTCTCTGCTTGGACCTTGAAGAAGTCCTAGTTCAATTATATTAACTGCTTTCCAACCTAAGCAGATAGCCAGGAGAAGGGACTTCTTTCCCTACCGCCTGGTCTTTTCCTCCCTGTCCCCCCCCTGGGCTTCACACTCTGCTAGTTGGAAACCAATTAGTAGCTGGGCTCCCAAGTGCTGACCCACTCGAAAATGATATATGGCAAGAGCTGGGGCTCCATCCCAGCTCCAGCTCCATCTCCACTCGGGGCACTTATCAGCACTCGGCCATCTGTTGGACTCCGGGTCGGGAATCGAGTGCGTGGGGATGCGGGGGGAAGGGTGCCCAAGTGGACGGGGACAATCTACTGTTAAATTACTTTAACTCGATTCATTTGCAATTGCTTTTTTTTTTTTTGGTTGGTTTTCGGCGTCGTCTATTTTTTTGTGTAGCTTTTATGGTCTGCTTTTTGTTAAGTTTTTTGGCAGGGCAGACATACACACAAAGCACACACACATACAAAGAGACTAAGCCTGGCAGCGACAGGAGAAGATACCTGAACGGACTTTTCTTTTGGCCCATGTATGTGCTGCGGGTGGTGGTGTGCGAGTGTGTGGCTCGGTCGCTGGCTATGAAACAGATAAATTGCAAAAGTTTTTCCCAAATATTTTCACAAGACGACAGGGCAGGGAGAGCCCTGAGCTTTAGGCCAAAGCAGGTAGCGCAAAAATCTGCAATAAAATTTTACCAATAAACTTTAGACGCACACACATGGATGGCCGTCCGACACAGATGTGTGTGAGGGGGTGGAGGATGTGGCTGTGTGGCGGCGGAATGCGGATGCGGACAGGTGGAACTTTTTCGGTGAACTATACTAAATTATTGTAGTTGCTGAAAAAGTTTTGGGCACCCCGCTCCGACTGGTTGGGTCCCTTGTCTGACACAGGGAAAGGAAAATAACGCGACGTTAGAACCTTTTGACATGGCAAGTGGTGCTTCTCCAAGTTCTCCTCCTGCTGGATAACATGTGGGGGACATAAAATGCGGTGAACTAATGTTGCACCCACTTGCATCCGCCCCCACAAGGCTTGTTGTTAACTTTGACTGCACGAGAAGCTGCTGCTACTGCTGCTGCTGTGACAAATGTGCCAAACTTGTCCCGCTGGCATGTCCTTTACACATATATGTATTTATCTTTTTTTTTTGGGTCTGATGCCGGGTTCCGGGGTCAACAGATTGTGGGTCAAATGTGCGCTCAAGGTCGCCGTCCTGGGCCATTCAAAGTTTGCATTCCCAGCGGCACAACTCCCAACAGCAGCGACTAGTGGAGAGTTCGGAGTTTGAAGGACACGAGTACCGCCCTAATTTATTGATTTGGGACCTGTGGCCGCTCGGCTTGGTTTCCATTCTGAGTTTTCTGTGACTGAGAATCGGTGCTACTGCATTTCCGCCACTAACAAGTGTAGCCTTTTGAGGTTCTCAAGGAAAACGCGAGACGTAAACAAGACGGGCATGAAGCCTGCTCCAGGCACAAAACTTTCTTTTGTTGGCATCCCGGGCACGTACGCTTGTGGATACAATATGTCATAGTGGCAGGCAGGCAGGACGACGAGAAGCCGGAGCTCAGGCGGCATGTGTTGCGATTCCTTTGGAGTGACATGGCAGTGGTAATGACACTGGCCCTGCTGGCTCCGGTCTCGTTGACAGCACTTACGATCCCAAGTGGAGGGCATAAATATCTTCGGTACTACCACCGACACCGTCACCTGGCCCATTGCAAATCACCACTTACAAGATCCTCGAGATCAACGCGAAACCGCGATAAAGTTTCGCTGTTGCTGTGGCTTTCATTTGGCCAGCCACTTACATCCCGATGTGGCCGAAAGTGTCGATAAAACTTTCGCTAAGCCCCCATGTCCTTGTGTCCTGGTCGTGTCCCTGTCCGTGTCCCTGTTCGTGTCCCTGTCCGTGTCCCTGTCCTTGCACCAATGGCCAGCTGACGAATTTGGCGCGCGCGTCACATTAACGCGGCTAATGGTGAAAGTTTTATGCCTGGCTTCGGCTTCATAATGTGCAACACTTGAGCAACAAGGGCGCCTGCTTTAATGCTCCACCTCCGAAGGAGCCTCCTTCCTGCGGGCAGGGTACTTCCTCCTGGTCGAGCTCTTAAGAGAGCGCTTAAGAGAGAGCCGGATGCTGGGGCCAGCACCCAACGGGCGCCCGAAGGTCTGACAGGACGAGAAATAGCAGCAGTAAGCAGCAGCAGCAGCAGCAGCATGACATCCCTTCCCCCCCCTGGTGGTGTCTCCGAAGAGTAAACTTCGAAAGCCCTTTTGCACGCCCAAGAAACCAACGCTGGTCCCGGCATGGCACAGGACTCGGCTCCGTTCGGCTTGCCTACGCTCGGCTTTAGATTCGGCTTCGGCTACGCTTTCGGTTTCGGTTTCAGTTTCGGTCCTTCGGTTCGGTTGCTTTGGTCCTGCCGCTGGCCAGGACTCGACAGTTGGTTATGAAATCTGAACGTGTTCGCACGTGCCGCACGGATCTCGCAGCAGCTAAAGCCATCCACTCAGCTCAGTTCCACACCAAACAGCACATCAGTCGCATCGCATCACCCCGGATCAAGTGAAAGTGAGGAAACCGAATCGAAACCAAAATCGAAACCGTAACCGTAACGGAAACGGAAACTGAAACTCTAACTGGACCGAGTCTAAATCGAAATAATCGAAGATTGCAAGCATTTCATGCCAAAGACTTTGTGTTGCCAAATCTGTGTTCTTTTTTTGTGTTCGCGCTTCTTAGCCCCGTCGTCTCACGCGTCCTTAGTTGCCATTCCAACTCGCATGTTAGCCAACTCAATCAACAAGCTGCACAAGAGAATAAATAGTATATAGTTCGTTTCGTAGTATCAAAATCTAAATACATCCAAACAGATATCCGTCGGCGTTAAGCTAAGTTATATATCTATTTTTTTGTTTTTTTTTCAACATTTTTTTCACGTTATCAAAAAAAAAAACAAATATAAAAAAATAAAAAGAAAAGCAAACCGAAAAACCAAGCAAAACAAAAAATATATAGTTAGTGTCTATGTGTGTATAAAACAATTGGTGAATGAGAGAGAAGAGGAGCAGGACACAGAGCAGTTAATCGAGAGCCAGGACCCTAGAATCCTAGACAGCTGCCAGGAGGAGTTCCAAGTGAAATACCAGAGAAAGAGAGACCTGTGTAAGTAGAAAATGCCATGAATTCGAATTCAAATTACAAATTACAATAGCTCTGCCACGCAGTTTTCCATTTTTCCCCATTTTTCTCCTCTTTACCCCCACTTTTCCACTTCTCAGCGATTCTTTGCATACTTTTGCGGGCAATCAAATAGAATTCCTGCGGAATGTAAAACAATATTGTAATGGTAGCCATAGCATTAATTTCGTTTGATGACGGCGTATTAAAGTCCACCTCCAGGCTCCCTTGCCTCAGATTCGATTCGAAATGGGAGCCAACTCCCGGATCCAGATGACAAATCAACGGCAGAAACGTCAATTCCACACACACACACACACAGCCACACACATTAACTCTTGGCTTGGATGGGGGCCAACTGCTGCTCCCAATGTTCATCGGGGGGCCAAACATCTGTGGCTTGTGCTTAAGTTAATTATTATCAATTAATAGCTAATCACGATAAATGTGCATGAAAGCGTTTGCCCAAGGACACAGCGATACGGGATACGGGATAAGGGATAGGGGATAGGGGATACAAGACATGGGATATCCGTGTTCGGAGTTTGGGGGGAATGTGGAGGCAACAAGGCAACAAATGGCAGTGGCCTATAAACCCCCTGCCTAGTCCCAGCATCCTGTTGATTTGTCCCACGCTGCGTATGAGCGATTGCAATTAAAAATACGCATACGCACTGTGGCTAGGAAATAGTTGAGCCTGCACTTGGACACGCCCTGATCAATGCACTGATTTCCCGCAGAGTTGTCCATTTTTATTCAATTAAATCTTTATTTAAATATTAAAAAGGGGAATCTGTACTTGTTTTCTTCATTAATTTTATTTAGCGTTTAATTCCCATTTTAATGAATACTAATTTAAAGGCTTCTTAAGGCTATTTTAGAACACATTTACTGTTTAACTTAAATTAAAAAAAAAGGAAAAATGGTACTTCTTTCTTTTTAAGATTTAAATTACCATTTTTACCTTAATTTGGACTGATTTCCCTGGGAGTTTTTAATTGTTATTTAATATAAAATTTATTAACTGTTTAATTTAAATATTAAAAAATGAAAAATGATAATTATCATCTTCTTAAGATTTAAATTTTTTCAATAAATAAAAATTTAAAGACTCCTCAAGTTTCTCATCGAAATCAATCGGCCAACGATTAATTTGCTTTTGAGAGCGGACAGGAGGAGTCACATTAGCCTTTATTAATTATCAATGTAATGGACCATTTCGGTGGCCCGTTATTATTGGCAAATGAACAATGAAGGCGCCAAAATGGCCGCATAAAAGCCAGTATTTATGATCTTCCGCTTGGCATTTCTCATAAAATTCAATCAAAGTTGCTGCAGTTGCTCAATGCGGCGAGGAATGCCTTTCTTCGGCTTCGGCCAAGTGAAGTTCGTCGTCTTGGGCTTTGATCTCCGGGATGCCAGCAAAGTGCCCGGGGATGTTGGACAGTATCTTGGGGCTTTTGGGGGGGAGATGGAATAAGGGAGAGTGGGGATGCGGTGAATGGGAATTCCGGGGGTGTACAACAATCGCATTCGCTGTTCGAGTGCCCTCAATAAACGACATTTTATTATTTTTTCTCTCTGCTGTTTGGCAGCGCCCTTCCGCAGCCTCAGCTGCTACTGCTGCTGCGAGTCCTGCTCTTCCGTTACCCATTTCTCTGTTCGGTTTTGTACGCTTTTCCTGCTGCCACCTTATATTTTTTCCTCCTTTTTTTTGCTTCCACCTCGCATCGTCCTTTCCCTTTTATCGTTTCAGTTACAAAGCGGCGCGCACTTTACGCTGATTGCTCGCTGGCGCAATCGTTCCACAGGACACGGCCTGGGCTTCCTTTGGCGCCCTCTCCTTTTGTTTCCCCTCAGCGCCGCTCTCTCTATCCGTGTGTGCAACTGGGCATCGATATCATTGGGTTTATTGTTACTTCCCTTTGCAATTATCCTTGTTAGTCGGCGCACAGGCAAATGCACAGTGGCGTAACTTCATTTGCCTAGCTTTGGTGCTGGTTATGGTCTCTGGTCCCTGGTCCCTGGTCTCTGGTCCTTTGTGCCTCCATGTCATCCGACTCCAGCAGCATTTCGTTCCTGCGGTTTATGATCTCTCTCTCTCTCTCTCTGCAAACGCGAAAAATGTTCGGGGAACAGGCAAAGTATCGCCCATCAATTGGGCTTCTTTTACGCTTCGTAACCACTCAGTATCCTGCATTTTTCACATCATAACTGAGATGCTGGCATTAAAAATTCCAGCTTTTTGGAAAAAGGGAAGTTGCTTAGCTTCTGTAAAATAAAAAGGATATGATTTTTACGATGATTCTTACAAGAGTTTTCAGAAAAGCTGATGACAAGAGAATAACACATATATGAAAGGTTATTTCATAAGTAGTTCCAAGGGTAATTAAGTGTCATACATACCCTTTCTGTATACCCTTTCCATTTGTTTCTAGAAAGGACACCTAGGCAAGGCCACAAGGATTACGCGGAACAATACGTTGCGGTTATGGCCAACGTTTTGTTTTCCGCGCGGAAAAGCGCTGACACAACGCAAACTCAATCAAACTGTCAACAACAATTCGGTGGCCACGCCCATAAACAAAGCACACAACCCCACGCCTTTCTCGTCTATCTCACACACACACACACACACCCAAGTAATAAAAGCGGAGCAAACTCGCGGCATTTAATTAAAAGCGTGCGAAAAATGCAACACTCGAAGGCCTTAGAGGCGACCAACCGACCGACCGACCACTAACCCACTAAACACCCCTCGCTCGGCCAAAGGAAAACAAACCAAATTAAATTAATTAAAGCGAAGGAAAAATCCGTGCAAGAAAACTCAACTCGAGACTGCTGTTCGTGGAATTGAGTTAAACTTTGGCTAGCTGGCAGCCACGCGAAAGTGTTGCAACGCCTTTTAATGTCCAGCAGAGCAAACTCCCGCATGCGGTGACCCCCTCAACCTCTAGCATCCTGCATCCTGGCATCGCATTTTTTGCAATTAGCGGAATTGTTTCACATTCGCTTCACACTTTTCCCGGCTGCAGTTTATCTGCGGTTGCCACCCTGGGGTTTGTCACTACCAAAGGCACGCCTCCTGGATCCAGGATCCACTAGCCAGTATCCAGTATCCAGTATTCCGTATCCCGTTTTCAGTATCCACTATCCAGTATCTGGGTGTGTCCACTATACGGGGCATCCCCCGGGGGGGATTGTGCAGCTAAATCTTTTAAAGTACATCTAAAAACGACGTGACAGGGGCAGAATATACAGGATACACAAACAGCTTTCTGCACTTTACTCGCTCTTCCACTCGACTCGACTCAGCTGGCTGCACTTTAGTGGATAACCCAGTTTTCTACGCTTAAAAGGTTTCCCCATTTCGAGAGCTTTTCCGACCGCTTTACATAGGTGTCCCCACGATCTGTTTTTTTTTCTCAATTTTTTTTTGCTGTGTGTCTCATTTTCAGGCATTTCCCAGTTTGTTAGTTTTGCAAGACATCAAACTGAGTTGGCCCAGCCAGCAACCGCAGCGGAAAAGTGGAAAGGCGGTGGTTAGAGAGGTAAAGGAAAATAAAATACGAAGAACGTTAAACAATTTTCCCTTCATCTTTCGTACAATTTTTTTTTTGAAGGCTGCTAACGAGCCGCATCCGAAAGGGTGCACCGTGAAAAAGTTATAAGCTTAATAAATAATAATAATAAAATAATTTAAATATCAAGGAAGTTGAAATAAGAATTTTGCAATTTATGTGCATTTTTTAAAGAGAGATTTAGAGATTCTGTTGCATTTTCAAAACCAATTCAAGCTTCCTTCGGGCTTCATCTCTCGCAGAAGAAATAAAAACCGTTCTAGGTATTTGTATATAAAATATTAAATATTAAAGAAATGCAAAAATAAAAATAAAAATGACTAAAAAGAAAACAAAACAAGAGATATATTTTTTCTCAGTACTCCAAGTACCCAAACGAGTTATGCGCATTTGGCCGCCGGCCCAGAGATTTGTGCTGCTCTTTTCTTTGTCCTGGGTCCTGCTGTGGCAGTTCCTTGGAGCGGCAGGTATCATAAACCTCAAGGCGTCCGTCATTTTGTTTACACAAAATCAAGGCGGAACGCAGACGGGGACACACAGACGCTCAGAGTTGCTGGCTAAAAGGAATCATGCCGACATTATGCCATTACATTTGCATAATTATCATTGTGCGGGGGAGTTGGGACACACACACAGCCTAAGGAACCCACCCATACACACACACACTCCATTCACTTTGTTTTTCTTGAGTAAATGTTTGCATTTATTTGCATTTCAACGGAGTCAAATAAATATGAAAGCTCAGCACTTGCGGAAGTACACACACACACACACACACCTACACACACAGGGAAAGCGGAAAAGAGCCCGGGAAAAGCAGCCATGACTGCGGGGTAAAACGGTGCAAAGCAGCTGTGAGAACTTTAAATTGAATTCAAATTGAAAAACTTTGCTCCTATGTCATCTGCCTGTGGCACATCGATAGCCGCCAAGCCATTGGAACCTCGATGGGGTTTACCTGTTGCCACCTGCAAATAGGAAAATTATCCAGATCCTGAAGGGGATTTACATAATACTTGGAAGGTCAACATGCAGTTATCACCCGAAGGAAAATCTCTGTAATTATAAACTGCAAACTTTATAATTAATTTTTAAGTTTAAGTCTTAGAATTTCCTTGAGCAAATTAATAACTAATCTTCTTATTATTTATTTATTGTTATATTCTTTTGGGGAAAATGATATTATTGAGGTGTATATATTTCTAAGTAGCATTAAAGACTTTCTTTTGAAAACTAAAACGTAGAGAGACGCCGCCATTAATCTCTCATGAGGAGATATGCACTCAAAGGAGTCACTACTAATGAGAACACACAAAAACTATATTAAAAACACACACATCTAATCAAATCTCTCCCTTTTACTAAAAGCCTTTCATCAAAATAACTAATTACTTCTTACTTAAATGAGAAAATAAATGTTTCAAGTTTGCCGCAGATCATCATCTGTTTCAGGTGCAGGTGGCAGGATTAGCTCACAAAGGAAGTCACTTAATTGAAGTTAAATTGCTGAAAAAAATAAGGTTTTTAATGCAATTAATTAATGGCAAAGAGAAAGGGATTACGCTGTGAAAAGTCAAACACAGATTCACAGATTATAAGGTGTAATAACAGCCAGGAATTATCTTTAGCTAGCAAAGGATTTATTAAATATTTATTAATACAGATTTAATAAATATAATAATTAATAATCAGAAAGAAAAACTATCTACGAAAAGCAAGTACCCTGTCAAGACCAGAGTCTAAACATTCTGCCGCATTTCTTTTGCACACAGCAGCTATGAGAAATTTCGAATTAGGCAGCAGCTGCTCTCCCTGTCGAAATTGGAAAGAGCACAGGGATGTGTGTGCCTCTGAGTCGGAGGCGGAGACTGTGTGGAATGAAAATCAATGTCACCCTGACAAGTCACCCCGTACACTGGGCACCCTTTTGAGGGTCAAGACCCCGCTTCAGGCCGTTCCTACCGCCGGTCAGTGCGAGGAGTGGCCTACGAGGGCGATGACAGGCGACAGGCATAAAAGTCAGAAACATTCGTGGCCACTGCACCTCATGACGGGGACGACAATGACCAGGTTCTGGGTACAAGCACACCACTTCTTTCTCTCCTCCATCGCATTCCAATTACATTTTTGCGCCTTCAAGGATAATAAAATGAAAGCAAATGCAATATAACGACGACTATTACTCAGTATTATGTCTGAAAGGACGTTAAGCGGGAGTTATTGAAAAGTAAAAATGTTGCTTTAATATTTTAAAACAGGACATCGAGCAGTTGTTGAATTTTTACAAAAAATCACAAGATTTAAGTCTTGTTTATATTATAATAACAACAAAATTATGATTTGATTTATTCAATTCAAATTAGAAACAAAAGGTTTTCCGAAATCAAAGGCAGGCGGAGGAGCAAGGGCAGGACCCAAAGCAGGAGCAGGAGTAAAAGCTGGAGCTTCCACTGGAGCTGGAACTGCAACTAAAACCGCTCCATTAATTTATAATTGAAAGCGGTAAACACCGAGTGGGCTCATTGCCAATTAGGACCGCGCCAGGCACTCCCCGGCAGAGCCTGATTTACAATTCTGGGCTGTGTTTGCAAAAACAATGCCACTCCCCCCCACTCCCCCCACTCCCCCCACTCCCCCCCACGCACACACAATGTTCTCGCTCATTTTGAAACATTCAGACGATTACCAAATTGGAAAATGTTACAAATTTTTGCAGATTAACAGCGGCAATAAAGACCCAGGCCCAGTGTCTGTGTGCGGCAATCAAATTCAGAGCTTCAGTTTCGCTCACACACACACACAAACACTTGTTGAAAAATCATAAAAATTTTATGTACTTAAAATTTTCATAAAGCTGCCAAACAATGCCCAACATCAACAGTAATATCAACACAGCCACACAACGTACGTACACAAAACGAAACAAAAGCCAGTTGCGCAAAAATGTTAAAAACTTGCCAACAAGTTTGGGCCTTGCAGCGAAAACAAAAAAAAAAAATACATGTATATATCCTGTTTAAATGCAATTTTGTGGCCTTTTTTATATTTGGGATTCTTGCCATGCTTTTCAATAGGAATTTCAGACAAGATTTAGAGCAATAAATTGAACATTAAATTGGCGAGAAATCGGGCCAAGTGCCAGTTGAAAAATAAACATAAACAAGGAAAAGGAGCAAGAACTCAGTTTAGGGTGCTATTTTTTATATAGCTCAATCATGGGAGAAGCAAATTATTATGGGAAAATGCATACATTTTAGTAAAGTTTACTAGTAGTTTGAAGACTTTTCTTAAAGTGCATTTCTGCCAAGAAAAGCCCACTAATTAAATTCACAGGATGTGAACCAAGCAAATACAATACGAATACAATAAAGTATCGATGTTTGCTGTCTAAAATGCTAAGAATTATTCTGGGAGTTTACCAATTCTCCCCTTAGAACCTGGGGGGAAGCCACTGCAAGCCCTACTCCTCTAACCCTTTTTGACCAAGGCTCTGGAAATGGAAACATTTTATGGCCCCCAAAATTTAGTGCTAATTATTTGACTAGATGTTGGCAGCTCGATATTGGTCGTAAAGGAGCATTAACATGAACATTACTATTACAATTGTTTGGCGGTGGCTAAATTTCAGAGACTGGACTACACTCAGACAAATTTATACAACAAAATTGCATTAAAAAAGGCTTTATTCTTAAAAATTACCTTCAAAAATCAAGACAAACAAGAAAAAGTCTAGGAAATTTTTTCTTAAATACAGAAAAACATTTTTATGAGTGTAGGTGCTTTATACGACTTTCTACGGGTTGGGCTAGTATAAACACCCGGCTTAATCGGAGTTTGAGCCTGGATATCGTGCATCCATCGCATAAATCTCGAGCTGGGGTGATGCGTGCGTGCCGATAACGAACTAAGTGCAAGTTCCATTCGCTAATTGTTGGCCATGTTTTTGCTGACAATTCGCTTTCGGTCAAATAATTCATGCAAAACTCAAGGAATTGTCACGCAAAGAGCTCGAGACCATGATGATCATGATGATGATGTTAATGATGATGTTGAGGACGCTGCTAATTAATTAATTAGCCCCTCCAGCGGGGCGTGGCCAGTGAGCGGTTTCGTGATTTATGATAAGAACAACGAACACTTGCCGCCTTGCGCTTCCTTTGTAGTAATTTTTGCGATTTGGTGGGAAAGCCTGCCGCCTCCTGCCTCTGCCTGCCTTCTGGCTACCAACACGCAAAAGTGACATTTTTATTGTTGGCGTTTTGCATGTCGCGGGGGAGGTAAGAAAGAGCCCAGGACCCAGGACTGGGGTGCGGCTCTCGCTGTATCATCATTAGGCCAACTCATTTTTTTGTGTCCTGCGCAGCGTGGGACGCGTGCATCATGTTGCAGAACGGCGGGAGAGCCTTAAGGTGGTGGCCCATGTTGACGATGCCAATTAGCCTTCGCTCCGTCATTGTCCTCTCGGCCTCAGCTTCTGTGAATGGCCAGGAGTCGGTCGGGGTAGAAGCCCCAACCGAAGGACATTCTCTTGTGCGGAAAGTTTTCATTGGATTTGTAACAAATGATCAGCGGAATGAGACTTTCATTTGGTTATTTTTTTTATGTGCAATACTGAAGGTGTTTCGATTCTGGTCTTGGACTTAAACTTACTTTGGGGTTGTCATGGCTTCAAGCGAAAAGAAAAACCATGAAAAGAACTATGACTCTTAACTTGAGCAGGCAATAATCAAGACCTTATAGTTTTAAGCTTAATTATATTTAAAGTATCATTTCTTATTTCTTATTCTGAAATAGTAGTTTTATTTTTATTGATAAACTTGGTTCCTTTATTTCCGTTCCGAAAACTATTCACAAAAGCCTAGGCCTTCCGGACATTTCCGCTCAAGTTATTGTTTGGCTTTTATGGCACAATTTTTAATGCATGTGAAACATGAATAGAATATGAGAGGCAGAAAGTCATTTGCATGCAAACAACATCATTTTGGCTAGCTTTCGTCAGTGGAAAATGATTTACTATTAAATAATTTCCCTTAAAAAAAATGCTGTTAATTTTATGATATAACTTGGTTATCTCTCCAGTCTAAGGCTCTCAAAGGACTGCGAATGCTTCGCTAATCTCGCTTCCATCCCATAATCTGCCAGTCAGCAGTTGTAGCTGTGTATAGCCCTGCCAGTTGTCCCATTTTCGATTTTCCCAGAACCCAACTCGGCGAGCAGCAGCATCGGGGTATCATCATCAATCGCTGTGTCTGGTAAAGTTTTCCCCACCACCCCCGCATTTCTTTTATCCAAGTCGCTGGTCGTCTTTAAAATATTTTCGGTAGCTACATATATACCCAAAAATACACACAACAAAACACAGGACAACAAAACAAATGGGCCGCAGAAACATCAAGGGAAAGGAACGAGGCACGCACAACAATTTTCCTGGGTGTGGGGTGGGGTGGCCCATAAGCAACTGCGAAGGGAAAATAAACAAAAGCTCTGCTCGGCTATTGTTTGCTTAGGCACAAACACACACACACACACACACACACACAACACACACACACACACACAACACACACAGGACTGGCTGAGAGCCTGGAAAATTCATAATTCTGCGAACCACGCTGCGTATACGTAATGCTGCCCTGCGAGAAATTGTATGAATAATAATAATAACAACCGAAAATTGGCCTTCAAGTGAAACGAAATGAAATTAGACAAAAGTTCTGATGACTTTCTGTGGCGAGAAAAGGACTCTTGGTGGTAGTACCTCCACCAGTACCTCAACAATTTGTCAATTGACGCGCATCTCCTTACACCCCAATGCCTCTCAAAAGCTAGAAAAGCCAAGTCAATTTTCATAGACATTTTACTGCAGTCCATCATTCAGCCTCAGTCCTCCATCTCACTTCTCTCAGTCTGTGCACCCTTTCCATTCCGCTCCGTCCGCATCCTTGGGCACGGTCTTTACGAGTCTTTAGAGTCCATCTGGCTGGAATAAATACATTTGCAGCCCCAGGTCCTGGTCCTGGTCCCTCTCTCCCGGCGCCCTCTAATTGAGGCCGCATTGTGAACGCCGTTTTACAGAGGAGGTCAACTAGCAATCGCTGGTTGCGGTCAGGTGCTGCTGCTGCTGTTCCTCGAGAGGAGCCACCTCGTCCTCCGCCACAGGGAGCTCCGGGTATTCAACCTGCTTCTGCTGCTTTCGATTTTGCTCCGCCTTTTGCTTGGTCTTCAGCTTCATCTTCTGCTTTTGCTTCTGCTTCTGATCCTGCTGCGATGCCTGCTCCTGGCTCTTGAGACGACGCGCCGATGGCTGCTGCTCATTCCTCTTCGTCTGGGGGCGATGTTTTAGCTTGACCATGCTGGCCTTGGCTGCTGGCGGTGCCACCTGCGGCTCTTCGGGCTGATTGGGTTCGGTGGCCGCATAGGCGTTCAGCCAGAGCAGCGCGGCCAGTGTGGTCATCACACCGCGCATAAAGACCAGCTCCAAGGATTGCAACATCTCCGTGTGCTCTCCGCCATAGGTGCGCAGGGCGAGCAGGAAGCATCTGTAGACCAAATGCTCCATACGAAACCAGAGCCACTGACCCAGCACCTCCATGAAGGCCACGCCCAGGACTAGCTCCACAAGGAAACCGATCAGCAAACTCATTCTGCGGCGGTAGCGCATCGGCAGGAGCTCCTGGTCGTAGAGGAAGTGCAGCATGGCACAGTAGGCGATATGGCGGGCAAAAAGTGTGTCCGGCACCACCGGCAGCTGTTCCATATTCAGGAAGCAGCTGCGTCGCACCCCGAAGTGCAGCAAGCTGGCGATGATTAGCACCCAGGCGGATGTCATGCTGCTTGGATACTCGAAAATTTCCACTGATGGCTTTCGCCGAAAAATTTTGTGTGAACTTACGGCAACGTTTTTGCTGATTTTTTTTTTTTTTTAATATTTTTTTTTTTTTTTTTTTGACTCTCAGCCGGAATTTACGAGACCGAAATAGAAATGTAGTGCTGTTCAACAGATGACTTACAGTATTATGGCTGCCAGTCGAAGGGGCAGTCGGAGCAGGGAGCTGGGAAGGATATGGCCAGGCCAATGTGATCAGAGATGATTCCAAATATTTGAAATAATTCATTAATATGAAATAGTAATTATAAATTGTGGCCAATTCTCGATGACTTAATGCGCTTGCCTAAATCCCTGGAAACAAGGACATGGAGGAGGGAGTAAGAAGGAAAAGCGGGAAAGCTAAGCAGCCCCTGGGCTAATACTTTGCTAAGCCATATTTCCAATTAATTGTAATTTGGTCTGGCTGGCGCAGACAATTTGCATGCATTTTTCAGAGGAACCCGGCCAAGTCATTAGGTGACCCCCCACCCACCCAGTCCAGCCCTGTCGACCCGCCTAATCCCTTGTCACGCCCATTTATGTCCATAAATTATGCAGTCAACCTCTGATGCTCATTGACCCAAAGGCAACCCTCTCTCCTCCTCTGCTGGCTGCTCGTCTGTCGAAATGTTATTTCTTTGCCTGGCTCATTTTTATTTTTTTTTTTTTTTTTTTTTTTTTGGGGCAGGGAAAACCGTTTGATCCCTTCCGGCTTAGCTGGGGACTAAAAGTAGAGCACGACGAAAATAAAATTAAAAAAAAAAGAAAAAACAGACTGACAGCGGGGCAGGGCGTAGGACAAGTCAGCGCCAGAGACAACTTTAAATTTATTACAAGACCCGATAAAAGCCTAGGCCAAAGTCAAAGACAAAATTATTTATTTGCCTCTAAGGTAGCTTCTTCTTTTTTTTTCGAAGATTTTGAGGGGGGTTTGGGTATGCTTCCCTCCACCCCAAATAAAGCAAGGGGGATGCTAGGCTTTTTATACTTTAGTTTATATATTGGCAGAGGAGAGGGACTTTGATTAGAAGGACATCCATCCGCTGCCAGAGAAACCTCGACCTCTAATACACACACACGCAGAGTGGCACACTATTTGCTTATGTAGATTTCCACCAACATTCCGCATATATTTTAGCCCAAGCACAAAGCCAAGAGCTGGAGAGTTGAGAAGGGGTTTGGGAGTTGGGAAAAACTCGGGTTCATATGAAATATGAGATATAAGAGGAGGCCCCTGCTTTGTCTCCTTGTTTTTGTCTTTTTTTTTTTTTTTGTATATAATTATGTTAAATTCATGATATTTAAATTAGTTAGCCAACAGTTTGGCTGAGGCTGTGGGAGCCTGACCTTTGCCCCTAGAGGGAGACCCTGCTGCTGCTGCTGCTGCAGTGCGGCCAAACATTCAATTATAAGGCTCGAATCTCAGTTTGTGACTTTGACTTTGGCTTTGGCTCATCTGCCATTAGCATTTCAAATGCCAGGCGGGGATCGGGAGTGGGCAGGAGCAGGAGCAGGAGCAGGATCCCGGATCTGGGATCTCTCAAACTTTTGCCATTTGCCTGCGAGCGGCGAACGACAAACGACAAAGGGCCAGGCAAACAGGGAAATTTTGGGGGGTTGAAAAACAGGGAAGGAAAAGTTTGCTCTGCCATCATATATCTTTCCCTAGTGTGCGTGTGTGTGTGCGTGTGTGTTGCATACATTATCTCCCCCTCTCTGTCGCACTGGTCAAGTTAATGAGTTTTCCTGTGGCTTTTCCACTTTTGTTCCTAGCTCAGTGCGAGTGTATGTGTGTGTGTGGACTTTTGCCATTTGACAGATCAAAGACCGACTAATACACAAACAAACAACAGTCTCATACGCATATACACACACACACACACACACACACACACCCAGATCGGATGCCGCAACGGAAATTGATATTTAATTAAAGTTCTCGGCTTTTGTCATTGGCTTTTCTTTGTCTCTCTCCCATTTGAATTTCCCCAAAAGCAAATTGAAATTGCATAATGTCAAATTGATGGCCAAAGAGCAGGGTTTTAACTATATAGAAAGAGAGAAATGGATATATAAATATATATACATATATATATAAAGATTATATGTATAGTGTGTGTTTTTATCACAAAATAAAAAGGAAACACAACTCCCAATCTTAAAGGCTTTAATTTTTAAAAATCAGCTTTTCCTGATTTTAGAAAGCCTTAACTCCTTGTTATATCCTGGCCAGGATGCTCATCAGTAACTCCTTTTCCCATAGACTAAATACAACATGAAAACCCGCTCTTTTGTTATGAAATTTTACCAATTTAAGCCTAAATTTCTATTAAAACAAGGCACGTCCTTTCTATATACAACCCACATATACATTGGAGTTCTAAAATAAGGACTCTAGGCTGGGGAAAGCCTGGTATCCTGGGAGTTGGAGACAAACTTTATGACTTTTATCTGCGCTCAAGTTTCAGGGGCGAGCCTAAAAAAGTCAAAGCGTCGAACCTCGAACCGAAGCCTCGCCTCGGAAAAGCCATTTCCACCACCCATCACCCAGCACTCGCTCATCAGCTGAGAGTTTTGGGCTTGAATTTGAGTTTTTAAACAGGCCTCACGGCCAAATGCATAAATATTTTCCATGGCCCCGCCCCTTTTCCGTTGTCTGCCGTGTTTTCCGCCGCCTCTAGCCCCTCCCCCCATCCCTCATTTCCTGAGAGGCCGCGTGAAAAGCTGAAACACGGACATTTTTCATATAAATTTATTTTTGGAGGCTGGCCATGTTGCTGGCAACATTTGCATATTTGCAGCGCAGGGCCAAAGCTAAAGTGTCATAAAAATTCTACAGCCCAATGAGATGAAGTCAAAAAAACGGCAACAACAACAACAACAACAACACAAGTCTGGACAGATAAATATATAGGCAATAAAAATGTTATACAGCAGCAAATGCCGTGACAACAGACGATGGCCAGTTGGTGAAACTGGCCAAAGTTTCGAAATGATTAAAGACAGGGACTCTGTCTGGGGCTTTTGGGGATATACATTTTGATGCATAATTCCCACTAAGCCATTGAAATTATTCAGAAACGTAACTGAATGTATGGATGATAGGGATCTGGGGATCTGACAGCCGAAACTGGAAATATCCTGGAGGGGGGAATTTAGGGGTAGCTACTAGCTATCCTCTATAAAAGCAGAAAAATATATCAAAAAAAACTGGAAAACACTGCTCAAAAATCTGTTGTGTATGTTTTTGCAGCATTTTTCTAAGCTGCCTGCCGCTGGTCAAATGTTTATTCACGAAATGGAAATCCATGATATATAAGCATCCGGACTCTGGACTCCCGATTTCCAAATGTTTTGTTTAATCATTTTTCAGCACATTCTAGACTAGAGAGAGAGAGAGAGAGTCGACATGTCTGGGTGTTTGCCGCTTTTCCGGATTTTTGCATAATGAAATTGGGACACGGACACGGACACAGAGTGAGCATCATCGAGTTACAAATTCGTTTACGTTCGCGTTCCCTTTATCGCTCACAAAATGCCGAAACACCGAGCAAAACAACAACAAAAACAACATTTCGTAGGTTTTTCTTCACTTTTTCCTTTTATTTTGTTCGCTTTTCGCTCTCGGGTTTTTTGTTTTTTTCCTGGCAGATTGCGTCAGATATTAAATTTATTTACGCGAAATTCGCACTTGGGGCGTTCTCATATTGCCTGGGAATATACGGGTCCTGGATACCCTAGATGCCCAGAGTAACCAAAAACAGGAAACAGGGGCTTCTTCTAGGGGGAATTGCTCCAATGACAGCCACATGATATAGAGCCAAAAGTTTGTCTGCCAGCAAAATCCCTCTTCCAGGAAGTTGTTCTCTCGAGCAAAAGCCATAAAAATAATGCCCTGCCGGGGTGAGCTGCTCTCTGCCTTTGATAGAATCTGACATAATGAGTAAACATTATAAGCAGCGGCGAAAGAGCATGCACGAGTGGGTATGGATTCCCCATTAAGGTTAATTAAATATTCCGCTATTAGGCCCAAGAGAACAGCTCTAGCTCCAGCTCCAGACCTTCGAAGAAGGAGTTTCATGAATCATTCTTTGGGGTCATTTTTTTTGTGTACAATTATAGTGTAAATTGTTTTAAGATTTTGGAAGAATAAACATTAGAATATAGTTAAAAACTCTCTGGTAAATAGAGATCCTTTAGGTTAAGAAAAACCTTAAATAGCCTTTAAACCGAAGCTTTAATTTGGCCTTTTTCGTGGGCACTTCTCTGCCCCGAGTGGCGAGAGTACCTGAATTTTCAGTCCCAGCAAGTTCTTCCAGGCAGCCGGAGCACCCTTACTAAGTGCATTTAAACACAAAAACCGAAACAATGCTGGCAAAAAAAGGGAGAAAGCCTCCTGTTTCCGTTTATTATGTTTTCTGTTTTTTTTTTTCGCTTTTTCCACCTCGTTGTTGGCTTTGTTTTGGCGCGGATTACCAACTCAAAAATGCAACCATTTGCATGTGTGTGTTTTTGTGCAACCAAAAAAATAAAAAAGAGGAAGTTTCGGGACTCGCCCGCATCCTGGTTACATGGCATCCTGGCCTCTTGTCAGAGGAGGGGTGGGTGGCTTACGTTTCAATTAGGACCCGAAGCAAAGGGCCCAGGCCATCCCTGATCCGGACTTGTTAGCTACTGATGCCGATGAGGAGGCTTCCGAATGAGCCATGTTACCTGTGATCCTCGAGGGCTAAGCCCTTATGTGAGCAGATTTTGAGGGGGAACCAGTGGGGATTTTACTGGGTTGTAGGAGATCAGTTATGAAGGCTAACTGGCTGCATTTCCAATTAAAATGTTTAATTTTAAGCCTTAAAAGTTATTGTTTGGAAAACCACTCCCAGGCCTGACATCCTGGTCATAAAACTCTAAGAACAAGTTGAGCTGGAAGTGACATGAGCGGCTTTCAGTCTCCTCTCGACATGGCTGTCAGATACGCTTGCAACTTTTATGATGACATCGGCGAGTGTCCCCGAGAACTGAATACCATTTCCATTTGTTGCTCTCCTTGCAGGCGAAACACCTTGGCACATCGATTCAGCGGGATTCAGGATAATCGAAGGAGACTGGCCATTACAACTGGTGAGCATCTCTCTCTCTCTCTCTCTACAACTCTCTCTGACGCAAAACAACTTGAGTATTTAAGTATTCAGTAGCCAACACTCGAACTCGTTGCGGGGTTAATTAAAATACAGAATACACTTTGACAAAATGCCATTTAATCTACTCGACAGTGAGAAAAGTCCGAAAAAGCAGGCGGCAATTAATTATGCGCATATTTGTGGCCTCAACAACAATAAGAGGGTCCCAGTCCCAAAAAAGGGAAAAAATAAAAACGGCTCATTGTGATTTGCATTTTGGCCATGGCCGAGTGCCATTTATGACAGATTTCTGGGTGAAACAGCAGAGACCGCACCCTGGGTGGGTCTATTAATTACAACAACAATCTACTGCTAATCAGGGGGTTTCCCCCACTTGAAGACGGGATTAAATTGTCTTTGGTGTTAAATGAGCCGCTGAGTCGCATAATTTAACCACCGGTGACTGTACTTTTTTGTCAGGGATTCCTGAACTTCTCCAGGAAACAAAAGTCTTAAGAATTTGCTTTTTTTTATTTCAAACAATTTGGTTTATGAATATTCAAGCAAGAAGTTTCAAGTTAGAAGTACTCATGGGACACTCGCAATTAAAGTTGAAAAAAAATAAGGGTTTCTGGGAAAAGGTTTTTAAATTAATATATATTATTATGTATATATATTTTGCATATTTATATTTTATTTGTTAATTATTTTAATACATTTTCTTTGCCTGCACAAAACCCCCCAATTAGCTGATGCCTTATTAATTCACAATCCTCCCAACAATCAATCCCACGATATATATGTTATCCTTCAGCATCAAATATTCATGGGGCGTTAATTGGGTCGCGGCCTTTATGGCAGATCGTATCGGCTTTTGCATTATTAAACCGCAACTTGAAGCAACTAATCAAACTTATGCAATTATCGCGGCAGCTTGCCCAACTTAATTCGGATTTATCCAACGGAACAGAAACGAAAGCCCAGAACCAACAAATTAAATTCGACAGATTGTTTGGGGGAGAGGAGCCTTACACACAATACCATATCCTGTTTATTTCCATTTGCTTGTGCCTCTCCCTCCAGGGAATTAAATTTGCACAAAAATCTCTAATTGCATTTGTGTTTTTGTTTGCGGTTATTGCTATTGTTTTCTGCCAGCGAAAGGATAATGCTGAGCGCGTAAATTTGAATTCCAGCTTGCCGAGCAGATCAAGTGAGTTATTCACACATAATTGAATATAAACAAGCTGCCTGATGGATGAGTCCATACTTGGCTACTCGGTGGCATTCATCAAATGACCGAAGCGAGTCTGTTTCTAGATATTTAGGGAATTTACTAAGAGGATGCAGGATCTGCTCTTGCCAGAATTCAGCACATAAACCTAGGTATTTGTTTAAAATCCACCTTATTTATAACCCCTTTAATGTAACATTTCTCCTCCTGAATGTTGTGTAAATACCGTGCATTAGTGAAACAACCGGCTTACAATAGTGCCACAACAATTGAATGGCGAAGTAGAAGCTGCCATGGAATTCCCCGGAATGCAAATAAAACTCAGGCACAGAAGAAAGCCAGATTCGCGAGGAAACAAAAACAAAAATAAAAATATAAAAAAAATAAAGCGCGAAATTAATATTTGAGTACGTTCGAGCCGCGCGGCAATAATAATAATAATAACTCACACAAATAAATATTGAAATGGAAAAAAATCGCTGGCCATATCAATGCTCCCGCTGGCCGCCAGAGGGGGTGCTGGTGGTGGTGTTGGGCTGGTCCTGGTACCTCGTCCTGAGTGCGCCAAAATGAAAAGAGAGCAAGGAAATAAACAAAGCCAAAATGAAATGAACTGTAATCAATTCCGAGAGTTCGACCAAGGACGCAACGTTGGCCGAGGAACGATAATATCCCAAGCAATTTATGGTAAGGTCCTTCCGCCTTGAACGGCCAAGCCAATTATTAACATTTTCGCTGGGAAAAACAAGTTGAAATGTGGATGAAATCGAATTTTTAGTAGTCGAAGTATGTATATCCTTGGATTTGGCTAAAGGATTAGGGTACTGAATCAAAAATTGATCATAATTGAGCTAAATTGAATTAATTTATTTAAAATATTTAATAAGTTAATTTGGAAAACTTTTCTGTTCTGGTTTTTTGTTTGAAAAAAAAAAAAAATAATAAATTTAATAATAATAAATAAATAAATCTGAATACTAAATAAATCTGCATACTTCATTTAACATATTTAAAAATATATATTATTAATTTTTGACAATTTTAACGATGTAACCCCTTATAAAATTTCTTTTAAAAATTTGGGTACATTTTTTGTTGACAAATCAAAGTTTAAAAATATCTTAAAAAATCCAAATATACGTTGATTTAAATATAGAAAGCTTTACTATGTAAGATTTTAAAAGGTTAATGCATCAACTTATTAAGTATTATTATTATATATTAGTAATATTACAATTTACGTACATTTTTAAAACATTTTATACAATTTTTATGGACAAATCAAAGCTTAAAAAAGCCCCTAACTAAGCCAAAAATGCGTTAATTTTAATTTGGAAAGCCTTGTTATATTAGTTTTTAAAAGGTTTATAAATTTGTATATTAAATTAAAAATTTTTAAATTTTGATAGATTTTTGAAAATTTTGGTGATGTAACCCCTTATAAAATGTTGAAAATGTTGAAAAACATTTTTTTCTGCCCGACATGGCTAGATCTACTCGGCTTTTAAAGCTGATCAAGAATATATTTGGTTTATAAGGTCAGAAATGACTTCTTCTGCTTAAAAATAAAAAAAATACCCTGCAAAGGTATAAATATATTTTTTTATATAAGCAAAAGTTGACCCCAACCGCAAAGGTAAAAAGAAATGTTAAACTAACCGAAAGAATATATATTTATATACATCTATATACATATATATGTATATATATATCTATATATATATACTTATAAATGTATTTTGCTTTGACCAACCTGCTGTTAGCCCACTTGTGCTCCTCAGTCTTTCGCTTCTCGGCCACACAGTGTTCTTTTTATTCTTTCCAGCTTTATTTTCTTTTTTTGATTTTTTAATTTTTAATGCCTTTTGTAAAAGTTTGCCGCATTTTTGGTTTTCTCGTTCGTTCCTTTTTTTATTTTTTGGGTTTTTTTTTGGTTTTTTTTTGCCTTTTTAACGATTCAACTTTTGTTGGCTTTGGCCTGGCGTGGCCGATTTTCTTTTTAATTTGGCATGGCCAGTGAAATTTATGAAATCTCGCACAGTTGCCGATAACAGTCGAGTGCTTGCCGGTGGCTTTTGGAATGGTTATGGGAATGGGGGCCTTCGGAATCAGTATCAGAATCAGAGCAAAAATGCCTGACCAAAAATATCTTGCGGTGGTTCTATGTGCTCTTGGGCCAGCTCGTTGCCTTGCATTTCTATGCACCAACTGGTAATTAATTTTCACTGAAGAACACTGAGAGAAAAGCCAGGGATTTTTGGGTGAAATATATATCTTGTATTTGGTATAGAATAAAATATATAAAATATATTTAGAAAATATATAAAAAGTTCATTTCTATGCACCAACTGGTAATTAGTTTTTACAGGGAAACATTGAGAGAAAAGCCATGGATTGTTGGGTAATATAATTATATAGAATAGCAAAATGTATTGTTAAAAGAAATGCATAAAATATATTTTTAAAAAATATATAAAAATTAGAAAACAGAGGAAGCTCCTTTAAATGAATTATATTTTACAACATTACCCTTTTTTCCCAGTGTCCTTACACACACTGGGCCAGTGAGGATGGAGATGCTGACGGGGAATAGGGGATGGTTCGCTGGGGATGTAACTGGAAATGGGAGGCCTGGGAGGTGCACTCTACCCTGTCCAGTGTGGCGCCTCATGCAGCAGCGCACTTTATCAATTTTATGTCGACTATAATTGCATTAAATTGAGTTGCTGCGAGCTGGGAGCTGCTGCTGCTGCTGGTGGTCCTGGCCTTCATCCAGGTCCTGGCTGCTGGCTCCTGCTCCTGTGCGATAGGAGAGCTCTGCATATATTTACATGGCCATATTAAAAAGTTGCCTGCAAATGAAGTTATTGTTTAAAACGAACGCCGTGATAAGCCGAAGACATACCCTGTAAGTGGCTGAATGGCATTAAAGCTGGCTTAAAGAACGCGTTGCCAGGACTCGGCAGGAAATGAAATTATCGATTTCCCAGAGACAGAGAAGGGGAGAGAGAGAGACAGGCACATGACACCGCATGAAAATCTGACAAGCGACGAGGAAATAAGAAATTGAAAGCCTCGACTTGCTTGAACACCTCCCTCACACACACACTCACACACATTTACGGACAGGGTCCTGTCCTGTGCTGATCCTTAACTGATTCCGCCTTGGCCGGGCAAGAGGCGTGGCGCACACATCAAATGACAAACGAGTTGCCGCTGCATTATTGAATTAAACGCGAAGGCGACGCACATCCCATATCCTCCACATCCTGGCACAAGGATGTTCCGTGTATCTTTATCTCGCAGTGCACGCATCTATGTGTATAGTTAATGAGCAAGGCGGACCGGCAATTTATTGGTCCATTGTATTTGGCCAAGGGCCAGGACCAAGGAGAATTACTGGAAGAAGGATGCCTGTGCACTTAAGAAAAATATTCTTTCACTTTAAGAAATGTTTCAATTTTAAGTAGAAACTAGAAAATATCAGTCAGTTAGTATCTCTTTAAAGGGAAATACTATATAGTTCTAACTTCAACTGAAACTAGAAAACCTGCAACCTGTTTTCCGCAGTGTTAATGGCCAACGTTGGCCATCGAATTAGGACGCTCTGGTCTCCCCTTTTTCCCCAGGCCAGCAGCAGGAGCAGCAGCAGTTGCTTTGACTAATTTGCGCCTGATAACTGGGCCAGCGGCCGATTGCGGCCCGTATTCAAATGAATTTGCCTCGTTCTCGTGCTCCTCCTGGTCGTGAAGCGGCGTCATAACGGT